AAATATGAAGTTTTTTTTTCCCCACTAAGGAGACAGATTAAAACAGATGTTAAAACAGATTACCTGTACACTAACTATTTCCAAACAGAGTAAAAACCAGGAAAACCACAATTCCTAGTGCTTTTGAGGATACACTTTTCCTATTTTTCATTATAGTCTGAAAGGTATTGGCTAGAATTTATTCAAAAGCTTAGATAAAATCTATGTCTCAGCCATTACCTAGTGAGACAACTTGGAACAGATCTGTTTTTCTTTTCTACTCATAGAAAGTAGATTGACAGGAGGATATACAATGCCAATTCAGGCAACTGCAAATATAAATAAGGCTTTTGTGTAATATTGAATGTTACATAGATGCCAAGACAATTTGTTAGCTCCTAAATACAGAGTAAAAAAGTTGGGTGACACAGTCCTTGCCAATTTTACTGCATTACAACAAAACAGTGAAACTATCTTGTTCAAAGGCAGCCAATACAATTGCTATCCCTGCCCCCTGCACTTAGTCCTCTCACTGCACCATTAAGTGAAGCCAACTTCTTCTGCGCTTATTTTACCATTTTTAAAGCAAATCACAATGCCTTGCCATTGTTTAAAAAGCTACTCAGAATGGGATTGTATCTCTTAAGAATGGGATTGTATCGCATAATACTTCCAACCCCCACCCCCCAAAATAATAAACCTGGAAAAAAATTTGTAAAGAATTTGTAAAGTAAATAGCTGGTTTTTTTCTATTAAATTTTCTTGAGGGGATGGGGAAGATTAGGATAGTCTTAAATTTCAGGTAAAAATAAACAGCAAATCGAACAATTTATACATATATAATATATAAACTCTTTCATATATAGCTCAAATATCTTGCAAGCAGTAACCACCAATTTTCCGATCTTACTTTCCTGCAGCATAAATAATGTCTATCTTCCTGCCATGACTTCATTAACAATACCATGATACACAAGTCTAGTCAACAATAATGACTTCAAGATAAGACTCACCAAGTTGATTCAATTGTTGCAATCTTGATATAACAGACTTATGTACCTGAAGGTTAGCTCCTTGTCCTTCTGCCTCCTTCTCCTCACGGAACCAACTTCAGCAAACCTTCTGGTTCCCCCAAACCACAATGCGTAACCAGATCTGATCTTGATTTGAAGTAAAACTAAAACCTCTAGTTTTCAGAAATGCGGGTGATATGTATCTTTGTTGAAGCCATGCAAACATAAAGACAAGGAGTGTGGAGAAATTTAATTTAATAATTTAATATATATATTTGAATTATTCTAAGTTAACCCACTGTCATTTCTACTTATTTTAGTCATAATGAATACGATTTTAATGTGATAAATAAATATGACTAATTGTTTTTAAAGTAAAAGTAAAAAAAGCAATATTCAATTACTTTTTTTAGTTATTTCCTATTTGTTTTGTTCTGGAAATGTGATATAGTTAATTATCCTTTTTTTAATGCAGTGAGTAATATTAAGTATAGTACTATATTTTATCATAATTATGACTAACAATACGATGAATATCTTTGTCTACTTTATGACAGGTCTAATCACACAATCTTTACAATAACAGTTCAGATATTTCACCTGTTCAAAATACATTAGACTTTATTTCAATACATACTACAGGGAAATAAAGAAGGTAAAATATAATTTCCAGGTAAAAAGTCAGGAGAGATAGAATGTGGCTTGCTAAGGCCACCTAGTGCTTTTACATTAGAACTGGGACCAAATTGGGAGGGTTTTTCCCCCCTCTCTCACACGCATTCATAGATAGCATGCTACATTTATGGAAATGTTCACCCAGCATGCAAACTGTATCTCTCATTAATCTGCTGTTAATGCATCAAGGATGCCAAACCTCCACTTTTAACCTACTGAAACTTGTTTCTGATATACGATTGACACCAATCTCAAAGAGCACCTGGCAATCTATTTAAGTGTGTGTGCGTGCATGTGTGTATATATGTGTTTGTGTGTATATACACATGCACACACAAAAGTAAGTCCTCTTGAGATTAATAGCATTTCAGATTTAGCAAGTACATAACTTGTCTGCAACTTAATTGCTGCCCTATGTTCTAAAGAACGAATTGTTGTAATGTCATTTCAAATGATGCTGCATTCAATTCAGTCTAGCAATGTTGCACCTAAATTTTCAGGCAATCTGGAATGCAGTTCAATCTAATGTATCTTTCTTTGCTCAGAGGAAGAACTCCTGATTTTTTTTGGGGGGGGGGGGGGATTTACTACTACATAAATATAGATGGTTTTGCAGCGAAATAGCCCAAATGTTACATAGATTTGCTCAAAAGACAATTCTATTGAATAATGAGATACACACAGAGATTTAAAAGTGTGGGATTGCAGCCATAGTTTCCCAAAGGATTTACCTTTGGAAAGTTTCTCAAGGGATTTACTTCTCCCCCCCCCCCCCCCCCCCCAAAACAACAACAATTTTTTAAAAAAATAATAATATAATCACCAGTCTTTTTCAGGCGGACAAAAAATTTTCAGTGTCTTAGCAAAGATGCCACAATAATTCTCATTGGCTGGCTGTCTATTCCTGAAACATCGCTTCACTGTTTGAAAAGGCACTACTTTCCAGTTTAACATCAAAGCACAGATTATGCAACTTGCACGGGAAGGTACCACTCTAGGATTAATTAGATGTTTCTTCATTCCACAGCTACTACTATATTCTAAGATGAGGCAAAGGCATTCATTCATAGGCAATCATTTCTTCTGCTGTACAATTTCCCAATATTCATAAATATCAAACCCTCGGGTTACACTGCAGTGTAATGAACCTTATATCAAGGTTGAAATGTACTTCCAAGGTCGTATCTCAAATAATGTCCCGTCAAATTCTAAAATCTTTATATTTCTGCCTAGACAGAAGAGCTTAGGAAAGTAAAGAAAAATCAAATGAAAAAGAGACAAAATGTTCTCTCAGTTTTTCAGACAAAACGTGAAAATAGTGATGATTATTTGAAACAGATTCTAACATTGATCACTATAAAATGTCACAGCATATAAGATATTCAAAAATGTCATGCAAATGCAGGGGGGAGGAGTGGAAATGTAATTTATGAATGCTTTCTGGAAACAAGTTAAATCTAAGAGTAATACACTTCTAAAGATATTTTCTTGAGAGAACTCTAGAACACTGTTTGCTACATACAGTGTTTTCTCCCGTGTTACCCTTGTAAGTAGAGAGAATAAAATTGCCCTCAAATACTGCACCAATGTACATGCATGGCAGCTTTTATAGGTACAGTACATAATTTAAGGATTTCAACCACCTTCTATTGTCTCTTCTGTTGAAATGTAAGCATATTTAACTGTGATGTGCTGGGTCAAAATCAATTCTACTCAAGAATATAGGCACAGTGAAAATGCAATGATGCTGCACTACTATGTTTTTCCTCCCTACGAATTCTCAGTATTTCAGCTATTTGCAAATCCTGTATGTTTTATCGTCACTTAAGGGCAAATGCGCAACACTTTATTTGCAGCTAGCCATTCAGACCAAATAAAGCAAGGTAAAAGCTGAATGTGAGCAAAAAAAAAATCTGGGTATCTAGGTCTAGCACTTACTTGCAAGCAGTGTGAGAGTGCTAAAAATCCAGGATATGGATCACTTTTTTCAAATGCAATACAGGTCCTCGGAACCTCTTGCATCAAATATATCCCTATTCTAAAGCACATACATACATATATATATACATACTCTATTTGACAAAAACTAAATGAGCCATTACACACAATCTTTTTTTATCAATATTATGTCAACTCTTTCTATAATAAAAGACACAATATCCATTTTATCTTTTGGTGCTCTAATATTTTAATACTGACTTTAGCTTGTAACAACACGAAAGCAAATAATTAAAGGGCAAATTAATAAAAGCTGCTGCCTTAAGCTTTAAATGTATACTGCAACCAGTAACAAAACAGTGGGATCCCCCTTTGGGGGGGGGTGTCCTTTTATATATTTTTGAAGGTGACATGAACCGCTAGCTGATGATTCCAGGAGCTCTAAGTAAATCACCTTTCAAGTCAAAGATAAAATGTGAGGTGTAAAGTTACTGGCTTCAGTTGCATAGAACAAACTAAGTCCATAAATCCAAACCTTAAGAAAAAGGAATTGACTGACTTGCTGACTAGGTACAAAACAGACATAGGATGTACAACTTCTTCAACCAGACAGCAGATAGCTGGGGGGGGGGGAATTCTTGCTCTTGTGATCCTTTTGAACACATTTTCTGTATAGGAAAGAGGTAAAGCTTTTTCATGAACAAGTCATGAGCACTTTGGTGAGAACTTTCAGTTTATTTAGAATATTCGTAATAGATAGTTTTACCTTTGTAAATGGAGCAGCATCTCCCGCGTACAAAAAAAACCCCAAACCCTCAAACTCTTCTGCCTTCATATGCAGCAGCATATTTTAACTCAAATAGATGTATAGATTATCAAATCCCTAACTTAAACCTATAGCAAATGCATAATCAACTGATTCCAGGCATATATCCCACTAACACATACAGATGCGTGCAATATGCAATAGTATGAAATATTTAAAAGTTCTTTACAAATTGTATATCCTATAGTATTAATACCATTAATATTACACTGATTTTGGTGTGTTTTTTTTAAACTGATTTCTACAAAGTCTGCTTTGACTTTTAAAGGTAGCAGTCAAAACAGGTATATATCCCTGGCGTGCTCCTAAAAGAAATAGTAAAGCTTTAGGGTGCGAGATTCCTTTTTATTCATATCAGCCGCATTTCTTATAGAAGTTGCATTACCTTCCCATAGACACAAGGACACGAACTAAATCTAGCGCATCGCTCAGTCCTCCAAATGTCCATACCATTTTTCCGTCAGCTTTTGCCTTCGGAATGCAAACTGCCCAATAAACAGTCTCAAAATAGGAGGAGGAATGATGGTAATAATGATCGCAATAATAAAGGTTCGGATGGAGCTACTTACTTGTCTAAGACATCACAAATCCAAAATTACATAGCGGAGCAATCACGGTTCGGCATCTGTAAGAGACTGATCAACTGAGCTTCATTACTGGAGTCCGACTACAGACTGTACCATCCAAACCGAGCAGGTGGGGGGTGGGGAAGCGCGATATTTCCGACCGAGCATCTTGCTGAAGGAGAGAGAAGGCTCCGGGAAGGGGGATGCTTGGCGTTGCAAGCCTGCCAGAGGAGGAGGGGCGGTGGGGGGCAAGCAGCCAATGTGGCACCCAAAGGAAGGCTTTCTCTGGTAAAGAGAATGGACCCAGCCTCCATATTGTTGTTTGTTGTTTTAATACCTCCCTTGAGATAATGACAAAAACGGAAGATGGCAAACTACCAGGAATATGCCACTTATGGGAGAAACCTTTCAAGGACAAGGACCGACAAGTTCGGGAGGGGAGGGAGAGGGAAGAAAAAGAGCGTGGGATGGATTGATGCGACGGAGGGAGTGGGGGGGGAACCCGAGTCAGGACTGCATCTCTGCAAGAAGTGATTGCGGACTCTAGTCTTTCGTGTAAATTGTATTGGGGGGAGGGAGGGAGACGGCAAACAAATTCAGCAGCATTTTTCTGCAATTTAACTGTAACGCATCTTTCTCAAGACACCGAAATACGCTCGTGTTTATCAAAATAGAAAGAGCGCGATGCCTTTTTTTTTTTTTTTGATATGCACATAACGTGTTTACGCGCGACCGTACACACGCACGCACGTTAATGCATATATTGCAACATGTTCTCACACTTTGAGGCAAATTTATGACGATTGTTGTCTTCCATATGGTTTTCTTGTCTTCCGTGAGCTGCACAACTTTTGCCCGTCCCCCTTTTGGGAAAGGAAACATTTACAAGAACGTAGTCAATCATATGCTTCCGTACAGCCAAATAAAACATTGTCTTAAGATTTCACACGAAGTGCTGTTTTGGATTTTGTTTTTATATTTTAAGGCGCTGTCATTTGTGAAATGGAGGGGGGAGAGTCTTAAAAAAAATTAAACCTAAAGCAATAATGAACACCTTTTTTAACATTAATTAATGGTTTGGTTTGGTTTCCTGCTGTGGTATAATTGCAGGTTTTTAAATATATTAGAATTAGCCTTTGTCAAAAAAAAAAACTTGGGATGAAAGAAATAAGTTTTTTAAATGGCATGCTCTTTTAATGGCCATATATTGCAGGGTTTATTTGTAGTCTGTTTTTATGGAATAACATATTTTGATTTCCAGATCCTTTTTATTTTCAGATACCTTTAGGCATTTGAAACATTGTCTTCATGTTTTGAAAGAGTCATATGCAAAGGGAAGCCTGTGTCTTTAAAAATGCAAAATACTACTGCGCTCCAAGTTGCAAGCTTTTGTAGCATCTTAGTGACAGCAGTGCTTCGTGACTAGGCTGCATTTTGAACAGAGCAGACTCAGCATACCTCTGAGCACTAATAGGAGTAGCTGTATGGATGCTCTGTCATCCTTGCTTACTTGCTGCTCAGAATATCAATTCAGCCAGTTAAACCAAAGTCTGCACTGCAGTGCACCAAAATGGAAGCTTTAAAAAAAGACTTAACATTTCTGATGAAGGAAGATCACACTTTTTGTCAATCTGTAAGAAAAGGTGTGCAAGTCTGTAAATCCAGGTATATGTTTAAAATAATGGAAGTTGAATTTACAAATTGGAAACTTGAACACATGCTTGCTGTGACATCATCTGCTGTGACACTCTTATATTTAGACACTCTTATATTTAGGCTTTCCCCTTGAGTGAGTGAGTGACAATATTCGGTCTGGAAGATGAAATGATGTCATGAGAACATTTAAGAATTAAAGCCTTAAAACTTCTAGCTGCCGTCTTAGGAGCCGCATAGACTTCTGAGCTGGGGATATTAATCATTTTTCAGTTACAGATCCAGTCAGAGTTGCAAGTCTGACTTATAAACGTTATTGATTATTGTAATATAAATAAAGGTATAATTTATAATACCTAGTTTCTCTGAAAACAGAAGCGGATTCTTGAAACAATTCCTTTTGTTCAATTAGCCCTCTTTGTGGGCCTAAGCTGTAGTTACAGCAGTCAACTCACAATTCTAACTGAGCACTACCCATATAGTGAAGGGTTAAGTATTAGACTCATATCCTGAGTACTACGAAAGGAATATATGAAGATAATTTTTCCAGCATTTCCATTAATTACTTAAAGGGTAACTATTTCGACACAAGTATTCCCGGTGCTCATTTAGAGTAGGATCTCCAATATCTTGGGCCACATAATGTAATGATCAAGCTATTAACCATGTTGCAAGTATCATCATTTAAGAGAGCCACAATCTCCCAGGGCTTTGTGCATTTCACAATGTTATTACCTTTGTTGAAATGTCATGAGTCATCACACTGTCACCTGGGTAACAGCGGCCAGCTAACATTACTGAAAGCAATCCCATCAAGACATGCCTTCTGAAATTAGAATCTGGCCTATTTTGTTCTGAAATTAAACCACTGATCATTATGTTCAGCTGCATTGTGCTTCTTTTTTTTTTCTTCAGGATGTATACTCGAGCTTATTATCAAGTGACTTTCTTTGAGGCCCATATTTTAAACATTCTTCAAAACTGGTTTTGGATTTGCTGCCAGAATCCATAGATGCAGCAACCATAATGATTAGGAATTTTTTTTGTGATGCAGGACTGAATGTTTAACTGCAATAGATAAAACCCATGAAATCTCCTTGAAGCTGTCTAAGCAAAACCACATTTAGAGCAGGCACCACAGATACTTGTCAAACTAAATATTGTAAGCCCATGTGAGAAGTGAAGTATTTCTTCCTCCAATTTTTGAAGACCAAGGACAACAAATATGCAGGACATGGTTCCTCTCTTACACACACAAACATTCTTGAACATTGTCAAAAGATAATCTGATTAGATTATAGTGTGGAGTAAGAAACTAGCGGGCACTAACTTTTTCAAGCAATCTGCAGACATGCCCACCATCTCTTATTCTACCCTGTTCTTTGCTTTAAACAGCTTGTTGCGGATTGAAAGAGGCCTTTTCTTAATGGTATACTTCCATTTCTGTTTCTCAGCCTGATTTACTCATGATACTTCAGGACACTTCATACCTGAGGAACCAGAAGAACTTTAAAAAAAGAAAAAAACCTTTGAACTAAAAGAAGCAAATAATCTATCCCAGAACAGATGAGGAATGACTGGACAAAGGCATTAGTGCTGAAACCAACTGCCTTTACTTATAAATTAATATTAGTTTCATAGGACTGGATGGTCACAAAGTCAGAAAGAAGTAGCAAAATTTAGAGCAAATCAAATCTCAAGAAAGGGATCAGGATATACTTTATTTATTCACATGCATTCTTTATTAATGCCTCGTTAAGTCAAACTACAGTATAGAGCCAACCAAAAATAACCAACAAGAACACTCTTTTTTTAAAAAAATACCAAATTGTAAAAGGGTAGTGAAGATCCAAACAGCAGTTTTAGATACCCAATAACTAAAAGAAAAATTGATGAAAAACAATTCTTTCTGACCCTCTGAACTAGTAGCAGTCTAAGTTCTTGATCTTGTACTATAGAACAAATGAAAGTAGAAGAGTGAGACAAATTTCTGAAGTTTTACAAAATGTTGAACTGGTGATAGAAAACCTAAAATTAATAAAACAAGTGTACATATACTGTATGGACTCTAGTTCTAAGTTATAATCCTTTGAGAAAAATACTACAATAGTGAAGTAAACAAAAATTAATATAAAAGGTTAAAAATCATTCCATAAATATGAATATTGGCATTTGTATGGTTTATTTAAACATTGTTTTAACAAGACAATGTTTTTTCTTCTCTCAGTTTCTATTCATAGCAAAATGGACAGAATAATCAATAGTAATAATACTCTAATGATTGATGGTTTTGCTGAATCGTAGTGCTTTTCAGACATCTGAAAGCTGATGTGAAGGGGATAAACTATGGTATGCCTACATTATTTTTATTTTTAACTTGCAAGCCATAACATCCTCCTCTAATTTTCACAAGCAAATGAAATGGGAGGCTTGATAGTAAGTAACATATCTTTGGGATTGTATGAAAAAAACCTAAACTTCATTTTGTTGCAAAAGATTTCCATGTGTGAGAGATTTGTTTCTATGTTCAAGAAGAAACATCCAATCATATGAAACCTACCCGTAGTCTAAAATGGCGCAGAATAATTACAAATCTATTACCACTTGAACTGATATTTATAACCAGGCTTTCACCAGATCAATTACTCCATTCCTATCAAGATTTTTTTTTCTTAACTTGCTCCTTTATGTTTTCAACAATTTCTGATTTTATGAATTGGACATTTTCAATCTTTCTGGGAGAAATGGTCTATAATTATCCCTTCAGATACTCTGATTTGTCCCATTTGTGTTAATGGCCCAGATTATCCCTTTGGTTCTTCAGGTGGCCCTTTGCTCTATTATTTCACTTACCTCTTTTCACTTTTATCCCATAGCATTTCTGGGACTGCCTACACCAGCTTCCATTAATGTACTTCTTGCATTAATGCATATCTCCATTTTGGCCATTTCCCACTAATGCACTTCCACAAGGGCTTCTAGATGGTCTTTCTTCTTGCCACCTTTTCATTACCAGTGCTTTGGCACTGGCCTTCTGCTCTAAACTTATTACTGTTCCATTAAACATGAAGCTAGATAGTACTCAGTACTCAGAGTTTACTGCAATTATCAGTCTATTTCTAAACATGAGATCAATCCACAACCTGAAGGAGGCAGAAACGATATTTATCCAATGTTTGCCATTTACTGATGGATAGCCCTAAACTGACCTTAATGTTAAGAATAGGATGGCAGTTACAAGTGAGCTACCAGAATACAAGCCAATAAAAAAAACTACGGTTACCTATTTATGTGAGTTGGATCTTAAGCGGCTAACCAATGTTTTGTAGCCCCAAATATGGCTCAATAAATGTATATATTGTTTTAATTTTTATTGTTATTATACCAGGCTTATACACCACTCCTATCTTAGCCAACTCTGAACAGTTCATAGATCTCTAAACTAAGATTAAAACTATGTACCACAATATTTTCTCATGTTTATATCTTGCCAATTCTAAAAAACTCTCAGCAGTCTCCAATACATGAAAAATTAAA